GTGTTAATACATGTTTGATGTTTTTTAGTGTGCATCATCTCAATAAATCTTTTAATATAATGTAATGAATAGAAGTACTACAGCTACCATAGTAAACTAAATTACAAAGTAGTAAAAATAAAATGTTATTGAAAACGGGTTATTATCGAACAATATTAAAGTTTTTTATTGATACAAAATTATTTCATAAATAATTTGTTTCGATAAAATGATGCAATTTTATCGAAATCTGATGACTTAAAGAAATATATATGTATAATAAATATATCTGTAGGATATTAAAAGACGATGTAAAAAATTGCAGTGGTCGGGTTTACATTTTTAGGTCCATAAATAACTTCAAGGAAATCCTTCAGTACATAAATATAATCGCAGGTGTGTAAATTGGCTCACAGTTCGTAGAATTTAGTGTATTTGGCTGGAAATTATTTGGAAATTTATAGTTTCAACTTTACAGGTCTCCTCTTTGCGCACATCTATGGGCAAAATTGAGACCGGACAAAGTGACTCTAAATTCCATTTAGGTAGACGAGTTACAGTAGTGTGGAAATTATGTTTGGATATTGTGGGTGATTTTTAGCGGACGGAATCTGCCAATCGATGAGACAAAAATTTACCGTTTATTTTGAAAACACTAGTTTGCTAAATAGAATTCATACTCGTACGAGATTTCGATTTGGCACTTAATCATAATTTCATGAAGCGTTATGAAGACTAATTTTATTGAAATCAACAACAAGTCTTTTCTAGTCTGTAAAAGAATATTGAAATCCCCAAGTCTTTAGGATATAAAAAATCTAGTCTGTAAAAGAATTACGCATTTTTATGTATAGTATATCATCATTAAACCGTCAATCATGTCCACTGATAGACATAGGCCTTCCTCAGTTCTTTCCAGTGTTCTCTACACTGGCCGCTTATACCCAGTTTCCCACTACTCTTTTTACGTCGTCGGTCCATCTAGTCGGTGGTCTTCTTCGGTTTATTTTATAGTTCCTGTGGCTCCATTCCATCACTCGTCTTGTCCACCGACAATCGGCGGTGTACGATCTTTGTGTAGTATATATTATATGACTTAATGTCATAACTGTACCAAAATAATTTGTATATGATTTAATTCAGCTATGGTAACTCACAGATGAGTGTATCCATTTCTGGTGCTGAAGGATATGAGTTCGATTCCCACTACAAAAATAAAAAAGCATTGGTTGAGTCGCCTCATCGAAGGCTCTAACAAACCATGGATTTTTAATATTTCTAGTACATCTTCTTTACACTTAGTCATTCAGATTGTGTCCATCCATTGTTCGTCCAAAGTAAACCTTCCATAAGTCGTTCAGATTATGTCCATCCATCTATCGTTGGACGTGAGCCTTCCTTAAATCGTTTAGATTGTGTCCATCTATCCTCGAATGTAGGCTTCCCTTAAGTGTGTCTATTTGCGTCTTAATTGTATACAACACATATGTACAGAGGAGAGGTCTATCTACGCCCAAAATTGAGTATCATCATCATTCTTTTTGGTCCTGTGGCACTATTTCCCATTATATCACTCCCATTTCCTCCACATAGTCTCTGACTGTATCTTTCCTAGGTCTTTCCATTTGTAAGTCTTTCATTCCATAACGGCCATTTTCTAGGCCGTCCTATAGATGATTTCCCGTCGGTCTTTCCTAAAACACGTTGTTTATAAGGCGATTGTCTTTACTGCGTATCACATGCATATATATATATATATTATATATATATATATATATATATATATATATATATATATCACTAGATTTTCTTTTCCGAAAGGAAAATCTACTTCGTAACTGCAAGGGCAAAGACGGCTTTATGAGGATTATTCGAAAGATTTTACGTTTTTCACACCACCAATTTATTTACTTCTTTCTTTGTTAGCGTCGGTTTTCCTTAAGTATGCCGTTATGGTCTTTTATTTTTTTGCGTATCTAGATTGTTGCACCTCGTGAGAGAAGTTTTGACCTCGTTAGAAATTGTATTGCAAAGAAAGATTTGTTTCCCGCCAGTATTCCCGTTTTACCTTCTCTTTCTACTTTCTTTTCATTGATGATGGTTGCTCCTAGATATTTAACGTCTTTTACCACCTCAAAGTTTTGATTTTGTTTTATCATCTTGATTTACTTTTAGACCGATATTTAGTACAGCTTCTTCAAAGATCGTGAAAATCTACGTTATCGACAAAGGCGAGAATGATCTTTGCTCCCCGACAGCTACGTCTGGTTTGATTTTAGGATGAATTTTTCGTATGGCATATTCTTCTAATGCAAGGTTAAACAATAATGAGTACAACGGATCTCCCTGTCTCAGTCCAGAATTTACGTAGAAAACATTTCATGTTTTCTCTTCTAGTCTTACTTCTGCAAAGGAGTTACTTACACGTGTTTGCGTTACCGCGGCTAGCTTCTTAGGCATGTCCAGCTCAACAAATGCATTCCATAGTCTTTAGACGATTAATTAAATAATTAGGCTCTTTGAAATCTATAAATATCTCATGTAGGTCTTCATTATACTCCCAATACTTTTCAAGCCTTTGTCTAATATACAGATCGATATTGGCGAAGAAAAAAGTTCTCTTCAACCATGACATACCGCCGCTGTTGCCATGGCCAAACTGCAGCCTCATCCACCATATTCTTCAAATTTGGCCCTGTGCGAATTTTTTTTGTTTTGAAGCTTAAAAAAGTCACTCGCAGGGCAGAAATTTCCACTGAGTTTTTCGTCTCCACGGAGATCTACTCTGCAGACCTCGGGAAAACTCATTTTTTAGACGGGTTAAAGACTTTGTTGAGTAGTAAATCGTCACTATTTCAAATTTTCATTTTACTTTTATAGGCTAAGTACTTATTGAGCGGCCCTCGTATATAAATGTATCTAAAAATATGACTGATTAGATCCATACGGGAACGCAGCTAAAAATTCTTGGGTAAAAACAGACTTGGAAGACGATTTCCTTAGCAGGAAGAATTTGATCGCTGACTATATCATAGACAAATTCATACTTAAGACATTTTGGACTAGAATCTATCCACAATATCATAACCGATAAACATACATACTAAAGATAACAAGCTTATTAAATTGGACATTTTAAAATGAAAGTGAAGGTAAAGATGCACCAGACATTAAATTGTTGAATATACTATACGATGATGTTATATCAAATTATCATCATCATCGCAAAATTACGTTTAATGTCCAAGTCTTCATTAAATTTCTATTCAATTTGAGGTATTCTCACTGTACTTAAAAGTGTGTGATTCTATTTAGCTTTCTAGTTTAATTGGGTTACGTGTAATAAATTTATAATATAGAAATATATATCCAACTGTATTATGATTTTAACAAATAAAATCAAATACGATTTTTATTTAGTTAGTATGATTGGTATAATTTTTGTTTCTAAAATTTGTTAGTATTATCAAATTGTGCGATTTTGATTTTAGTTAGCCGGACGGAAATTGAAATTTGATTTTTATATTATTTGTTCATTTAATACGTGTTTTTTGGGAACAGAAGCGTGCGACATCAAATTTCAATAATGCACAAATACCGGCTAACCTAAAGAGGTTGAAAAAATTGTATCTTTTGGTATAACTAAATTTTGTTTAGCAATTTTCATATTACCCAAGAACTGACGAACAATTTTGACTCTTTGTTTTATACCTCTAATTTTTTTTGCAAACACTAAATATGTCCATGAATTAAAAATGAACAATCTGTCAACTCAATTTCGGACCCAAGATGACCGTTTTATGCTACTTCCACCTTAATCGTTGAATGCAGATTAGGTTGTACATGTCACAAAAGGGGCCTAGTAACCCACTTGAAGTAGCCTCACACATTAACTACTAAAGTATATCAGAACAGATTATAAAAATAATAATCATCGAATAGTATTGCGTGTCAATGATACAGCACAGTTTTCATTTTAAAAGGTTTTTCCTCTCAACTACTGTTTTAAAACTTAATTTTCCAACTTTCAGATTTCTGCTTCGATACAATAAATCAAATGATTTGTATGTGGCACGCTGTCGAATATGTAATAAGTTTTGGCTATAGACTATTCGACAAGTTTCGCAACCTTAAAATAATTCAAGTCCTCTTACTGTATACATCATTTTGATTCGAGATTACGGGGTTTTTGACCTCATAGACATTTCCACACTGCGACCTGAAATGTCCTTAAAACCTATGTTTGTGGCTGTCTGATACGTTTTAACTGCTCTCGACGCTCCCTTGTTATATCTTTTTCGATTCTTGTTGAGTTCCATCGCAGTTTTTCAAATTACTTTTCAGTAGATTTTTAACATAATCGGTAGTAGGACATGCCTATTCATAACCTAGGGAATGTATAACCACTTCCTAAGAGCCTACAGGAAATCAGGATATCGCTTAACATCCGGAGTTGGATCCTAACAGAATGTTACCTTACAGAATTACCACGATTAAGTCACTCACAACTCACAACATGATAAGATCTCACGGCTCCCTAAAGTGATATAAAAGCCATTAGGGAAAGTATAAGATGTTTAAAATAGTCATACAACTCTGAAGAAAATTTGAATAAAAAAAATGGTTGTTCGATTGATACGAAAATATTATTAATTTACTTTCGTATCAAATACATGCAGAGAGTAAAGGAAAATTGAAAATTAAATTTTTTATATCGACCGAACTACAAAATACTGACATTTTTTTTCAGATTTGTATGAATGTCTGAATCATCTTTAAAAGATATACTTTTCCCTTTCCCTGTCTCACTAACTTTTTAAACTTGAAAGCAATCTCGTGCTGATGGTTGCATTACAAAGTTGTTCATTCTTGCTTCATGAAGTATATGTATTGATTGTATAAAAAAATCCAGTCAGTGTAAAACACCTTGTTGAAATTGTTCACCAGATTTTGGGTTAATAACTAAATTTAAGATTAGACATTCAAAATCCTAAATTCTGGCATTGTTTCTCAACCCACAGTTGGATAATCATGAAATCAAACCTGGAAAGAATCTGAAAATTAACATTAGCGTGCCAAATCTACGTCTTTTCGTCGGAAACATTCCAAAGTCAAAAGGCAAAGAGGAGATCTTGGACGAATTTGGTAAATTGACAGGTAAATTTCTTCGATTCTAAAAACAAAATTCAAAATTATTCCGTTTTACTTTGTAGCAGGACGGAACTCACGATATATTTTTTAATAATTTCACGAAATTAATTGTTGATTGGCAAACACCCACTAATTAAATAAATAAAATCATATATAATTTAAACACCGTCTCTTTGAACTATTAGTAAGTCTTGTTGAACAGTATTTAGTTTTTTACATATAATTTTACAGATTATCTTTACTATACAGGATGATCAACTTTTGTGAGAATGTCCTTTATATCTTGTATTAAAGGAGATACCAAAAAAAGTTATTTACAAAAATAAGAAGTATCTCTAAGCTTCACATTTTAAAATTAATTACAAATATACAGGGTCTCGGATAATACTGTATCGCATTAAAGATATTTTTTAAGTGAAATACTCTGCATATTTATTTTAAATTTAAAATCCGCTTCACTTCTACGTTACAAGAATATATAGTTGTTTTGTGTTATACGGGGTATTTAAAAAGTTATAATAACAAAATTTCAATAAGATCGTTACAAATTCAACGCCCTGTGTAATTGAACAGGGATACAAAGCAACGGCTGGTTGTAGTCGTATCTAAATTATCATCAAAATTCATAAAAATAATTGATTTTCGTAATACCCTTTAAATCTAATACAGGTACACAAATTCACTATTTGCTCAGTATTTTTAAAAGCATCACCTTGTATATTATATCACCATCATAAACTTAAATCTAGGTAGTTTAATTTGTCCTATTTAGTACTATTTGTCCTATTTAGTACTATTTGTCCTATTTAAATATTTCCTATGTACTAAATAGTTTTGGAGATATTTTAAATTGCATTTGAAAAAGGAGTATTTCATGAATTAAATTTATTATTTTTGTTTACTTTTACAAATTTACAAATATCTTAAAGCCACACATAAAACAAGTAAAAAAATAAAGACATTTTTCTTTTAATTGTGAAAGGTATTCAAAATGAGCTCCCATAGGGTGGTTCAGACACAGTCACGTCACAGTCAGAGACGGTACAGTACGGTACCGTCAAGAGTGTTTCTGTTGTTTTCCAATGAGGCACGGTACAGTCACAGTCAAGGTACAGTGGGGTGATCTGAATATGACAGTCAGTCAGCCACCTGTTTTTAATTGTACCATATTTTCGTCATTTTCTTCGTCGGTTTCATTCATATTTGCAATGAAGGATGAAAAATTATTTGAGTGTGTCCGTAAAGAAAATTACTCTACGATTTATCGCATCCGTTGAACTCTGATTCTCAGCAAAAATTAAAAACGTGGCATAAAGTTGGAAAAATACAAAAAGAGGGTAACTGTTAGTGTGTTTATTAATATGAAAAATTAATTATAAAACATTTATTAATATCAAACATGGCAATACAAAATACCAAATAACAAATTATTTATTTATAAGTTTATGTAGGCGAGGAGCTTCATTTAGAAAACTCTAGAAAACAATCAACCCTAACATAGAGGACATAAAATTGGTAAAAGTGCTAGCGCCGTTATGATAAAAGACTTTTTGAAAGAAGTGAATAATGAAAAAGAATAAGGTGATATTGACCTGTTGTTTAACAAAAGGAAGGCTACAGTGAGAAAAAAATATTGCAGGAAATAAACTTTTGGCTAAACAGAGTTTTGGTGTAATCGGCGAATTGGAGGAGTTTAATTTGAATCAACTACAATGTAACCAATTTGCACACTGTTCGTGTGTTGCGAACGTTCACAAACATTCTAACATTAACAATAAACTGATAACAGGCAACCTATTCATAATGAGAATTTTATTTTTACTTTACATTTTACTCTATTATGGAGTATTAGGAAATACTTTTCACGAAGAGATTTCTGTCTAGAGAAATTGGTATGACTTGGATACAAATAATAAATACCCATGCCAGTGCATTTCGGTGCAGTTATCGTCTGTTTGTTTTGCAAAGTTTAGAAAACACAGTCAGTAGATATCGCTCTATGGTAGAAAAATAGGCGCAGCAAACTGGCAGGATTTTAAATTAAAAATAAAATACCGGGTATTTCTTAAAAAACATATCTTTGATGCAGTGCGGTACAGCGTTATGGAAGACCATGTATAAGTATAAATAATTTTAAAGTTTATAATTTGAAGCTTACAGATACCTTCTATTCTTGTAAATTATTTTTTCTTAACTTCTATAATAACAGATATAACAAACTTGTCACAAAAGTTGATCACCTTGTATATTGTACTAGAAACTATCTAGTCTTCAGAAAACTTCACAGTGCCTAATACATTGAATAAACCATGCATATCATTTAGTTATTATATTTTAGTCTTGACCAATAAAATATTTACAAACGTATTACTGGTTGCCTGGTTATGTTTGTACTTACTAACTTGAGGTTAAAACTAATGTGCGGATTTATTTAACGAACATACAAACTTATTTTGGAACACTACGAGTGGCATTTTACCACATCTTATTCGAAGGACAGATGTAAATAAATGATATCATAGATTGCGTTTTATGAAATTTACTACATCAATAAATTTCCCTCATCGTTATAAATTAAAATGTGAGATTTTTTACCATTTTACTAGAAAAAAATAAAAAATCGATTAACAAGCTGGAATAGAGATTACTCATATCCAAACCAGTCGCATTTATTAGAGACAGCTTTATTATACCTAAATTTCCTCAAAAGCCTCATATTCATACCATTTCCGAGGAATTCTGAACTCTGATACTTAACGTAGGTACAAGGTACTTAAGTTAACTCTGGTTTTATAATTCTACCACTGTATGTACTGATTTTCCTAATGTAATAAATTTACTTGTTACTTAAAATACTTTATTATAATAAATTACTATTAATGCAGTTATTTTTAAACCAAATATTTGATTTTTATTAAGTATTTTGATTACTTTAGTTGTTAGAAATTCATCATAACATTTAATCTATTTAAAGCTAATAATTTGTTTTATTGTCTTGGACAATTTTTATTTGGGAACATTTTGCTTGTTAAATTTCGTATTAAAAATTGGCTAAAACTTATTGTGAGTACGTCCTGCTTATAAGTTGTCTCGAAAACGTTCGGGAATAATGGCGGCCGGCTGCCGGGCTCAGTCCTTTCCCTAGCCCCTCCCACCCCCTTGCCCAAGGCATAATTGGCTACCCTTCCACTGTCTTTGCAGCTGAATGATTATGAAATACGGAAAGGCAAAAAGATTGGCGTTACCATTTCTTATAACAATCACCGGTTATTTGTGGGCTATATTCCAAAGAACCGGGATCGAGATGATCTTTTGGAAGAATTTTCCAAACATGCACGTAAGTTGAGCAAAAACACCACAAATATAACCTTTTAAATCCCCTCTTTTTTTGGAATGCCATAGTCTGCGCCTGAGCAAAGGGTAGGGCAGGGCCGCTACAAGCATGGAGGGGTGACAAGGTCCAAATCGCTGCTGTTTGCCGCAAGCGCTGATGACTTGGTGCGAAATTAAAAGTTTACTGTAAAAAAATTTAAAATATTGTCGAATTCTAAACATTAATACCTATTGCTTAAATCATTGAATAAAGTAATTATTAGTTTTTCCGGTGACTAGGAAATCTACGTAGCGTTTGAGCTTTGTATTTCTAAGTCAATCTTACTCTATAACGAAGCTGTTTCGTTAGGTGTCTTACATCTGCATTATGTTATCGTTTCTCTCTCGAAGAGAATAACATTCGGGTGTGGGGTGGTGTATAATGTTGACTTCTGCCTTTCGTTTTTTTGTGTTTGGTTTTTGTTGGGAATTTCGATTTTGGTTTTCTTAACTAGAGATTTCCATACTGATTCAATATTTAGGACGTCGTATGTGTTATTGAAGATAACTTGTGAGTGTATTTCTACGACTTTTCTTATTCTTCGTTTTGTAGTTTTTTACAGACATATAGCTATTTCATACTACAACATGAACACAATAAGAGAAATCATGGGAATAGAACCACAAGGAAGCTTCAACATTATAGATACCGCCTTGTATCTTTGGGTCACTAAATCACTAGTTAGCAAACCCAACATTCGAAATTCACATGAAAACAAATCTACCCTCAGAAAACCGATCGACGAAATCAAGCACTGTGCACCTCTGAACCCTCACACGTTTTAATCTCTTCCATCGTCATAAGATAACAAAGGTAGCAGTAATGCAGACATCTAACGAAACAACTTAGATTTTACGCAAAGCTCAAACAATACTTGTAGAAGATGACGAATGATATTTCGTCGAAACACCTACGAATTTTTTCTACTAATAAAAAAAACAACTTCTGAACTGACGAATAACCGGAAATATATGAAAACATTTTATTTCATCGTGAGATCAATACAGTATATTATTACGGTACAATTTTTGTATGTAAAAAAAGCATATCGATCAGAATGGAATGTAGTGTCTGTAACAGATATAGACAGTGTTGTAACCTTTTCTGATTGTAATAAGAAAATACAACTAATGCCTATCAGATTTTAGTAGCAGTGTTCAATAGGAAACTAGTTTCAATCTCATTAAGACATTTAGAAAGAGCAAGACCTAACTTTACATCTAACTTCAACTTTTCCTCTTCTGTGGTCATATCAGAATAGTAGTATCAGTAATATTATTTTTTCTATTCATCATATAGTGTTATTACGAGATTTTAAATTTGAATGTGGCTTCAAATAGGTGTTAAACTTTTTGAAAATTAACTGCGGCAATAAATAGATAATTTAGAGCATGTAATGCGATTCTGGTGTTACCTATACCTGGTGCTAGTGATGCCCTGAAATATTTCTAACAGATATGTCTAACATTGCGACCTGTGATATCTATTGTGTTAATCGTTTTTGACGAACTCTTGTGGATTACAGAACTTCTGCTACTCACATGATTTTCAAAAAACTTATGATAGTTGCTTCATGTTTGAAAGATTATGTTTTGTTTCATATCTCCAAAACGTTGTCTTTTTATTTTTTGAA